TAATATAAAAAAAAATTTTTTTGAAAAAGTGGCATTTTTGTAAAGATTTCAAAAGTATGGCATTTTTGTAAAGTGGCACTTGAAAAGTGGCATTTTTTGAAATTTCTCTAAAATCTAATGGTTTAGATTTTGCCACATATGCACTTTTTCTTAGTTATTGTATTATAAATTTTTTGTTGGTTATTCACCAAATTCACCCTTATATGATCGGTCGAAATGAATTTGCAATGGATTGGAAGTTCTTCTATGGACAAATTCCATACACAATTGCCCAAATAAAACAAAGTTAGGCACCTCATGGAGATTAGTTCAAAAAACTGTCCATTATAAATTTATAATATCATCAATTTTAAACATACCACATTAGCGTAACTAGATTTATAACTCATGCGTTGCGCGAGATTTTATTCTTAATTTTTAACAAAATGAATATTCAGTTTAGAAAACAAAATGCGAAAAAATCAATATGAACATTTATATAAATACAAACTTATTTTAGCAAACGATTAAAACATAAATACTTTTCATGATAAATATGTTTTTAAACCAATGAATAGTTAGGTGCCACGTGGTTATAAAAATTAATTGAACCTAATAGAAAGAGAAACCGATATCAAAGATAGAGTTCCTCCCTATTATTGTCCAGTGAGAACATCTCTCTAGAGATTTGGATGTTGATCATTGACTCAATCTTATAAGGAGACATCAAAAATATTTTACTTTCATTTTGTGCATATATCTTTCTAGGTTTTAGTGAAATTCTTTTAAACAGTTATTCACAATCATTTTTTGTCATCTTCTAAAGTAACAACAAAAAGAAACGTAAATTAGTTCTTTAAATAGGTTAACAAGTAAAGGAGTTACGATAATTTTATAAATTAGTGATTTAAAAAATGAGGTTGAATTGAATGTTAAATTTTTTTTATTGAGTTACAAACCTTTTAATAAGAATTTTTTTTTCATATTTTATGAAATATACAATTCTTAAAAATAATATAGATATTTTTTCTTTTAACATTTTAGATATATGGTTCCTTCAATTGATTTTTACTAACAATTTGAACTATAAAATTC